GTAACGAATTTATCTTATTTTCTGTATTTCTCACAGGCCTCATTACACAGTTCTAAAGTTACTTTTAAAACTAATTTAAGCAGACTAGCGGAACATTTGAAAGTCTGCCCAGTTGCGAGTTTAATGCAAAAGTGATTTTCACTTGAGTGTCCAAAAGTAATTGGTTTATTACGTTTAATGCACTATTGGCTTAATAAAAAACTCGCGCCACTTTCTTATCCAATCAGAAGTAAAACCAAAACCAATTGTGACTGGCTCGCACGCGTTTTCCCGCGCTTCGCGTCAGCTACATGTTTTTACTTTGAGTTTTGATTGGTTGATTCTATTCTCTGTACCTTTTGTGACTAAACGGAGTAATAACTTTGGTTTTGGTTCTACGACACACAGTAAAATAAAATTTGTACAAATTTAATCCAGGACTACTAAAGGTTTAAATCAAGAAAACGAGTGCTAAGCAAGAAACGAGATTCATAAGCTTGGATTGAAGCTCGAGACAAGGGATGGAACTAGTCTTCCTTTCCTATCATCTCCTACCTGACCTTCATGTTTTTGCTCGCCTCAGCCCCTCCTGCTCTTCTCGCAATCGTTTTCCTTCATGTAGTATTTCACGTATTGAACCATGTGCAACTTAATTACAAGAAAATTCTAGCATATTTTGATGTGTAAAGGTGATATTTTAAGTGAGAAAAAAAAAATTATTCTCACTCTGCTTTCAAACCCTTCCTTTTTACTGGCATATAACACAGAACAGCAGTATTGGAAACTTCTCCTAATTTTTCCCACTCACCCAAATGAACAGGATACAGCTCTCCTGGTGGAATTCTTATGCCACTGTCAACTGGAAATATGTTTATTATAAAATAAACCTTCCCTTCTATTTCCACTGCACTAAGCTTGTTTGGAGGAATGTGTTTTTGTTCCACAACAGACCAAGTGTTGTTTTCCTCATCATAAACTTCTACAAGTGCGGGGTTACCCTGTAGGGTACCATCAGGTGCAATACAGTCATACCCCCCCGCAACACAGAGTCTAGTATTTACTACAAAAAGACTGGATCTAAAGTGAGGTGTGCAGGTTGTTGCTTTTACTTTCCATTCGTTCTTTACTGGATCAAAGCAGTGTAACTCTGCATTCTGCATGAGCCATTTGCCACCTGAAGCGCATTTAACCCCATAAAGGACAAAAAGCTTCGAGTGAAGCACTGTTGCTCCACTACTGTAAAACCAGGAAGAATAAGCACTCGTAATACTTAATTTAGCAAAATTTTGCCACTGACATTTAGAAAAGCTATACCTTTGAGGAACCTGATTGCGGTCAGAACTAACTGCATACATGAAATCGTCTACAATCCACAAAATGTCGATTAAACCGCATGAGTGTGGCTGCTTCTCCCACACATTACCTTCTGTATCATAACGATAAATACGACAACCAACACGAGCTTCAAATCCGGCAACATACAAGTTATCGCCAGCAGACGCTGCACAATGACATTGAGCTGCCTCAATTGTTGGTGTTGTGGATGCCAAAGGTTTCCAAGTTTTTACCTCAACATCAAAATACTGCATTTGAGCCTGGGGTAGAACTGCTAGAAGAACCTGAAATGACAGAAAAGGAAACAGAAATTTCAATAATACAAAGAAATGTCAAAGATCTGTCCGAAAACACCCGAATCACGACAAAAAATTCTGAAACAAAAATGTTGCGTGACCAGTCAGATATACACCGTTACATTTTCGACATTGGGAGGGGGCCCGCGCAATTACAAAAAAGATTTCTCCTAAAAGAAAATCCGAAAAGGAAACACTCGGAAAGCGAGCAACAAAAAATAAATATATGTAGTAAATAAAAATTCCTGCACGACCTGACGCTCGAAAAAATATTCTCGATGAGAAAAAATTGGCCAACATTCCCTCGGCCTCCCTCCCCCAAATTGAAATGGTCCTTCCCTACCAAATGTGCGTACAGTATTTTCTGGGACTGGGATTGCGTGGCAATATCAAGTGATTACGGTGACGTAAAATATGAAACTAGTAGCAATCAAAATTAGAGCAGTGCGTTCACCCGCGCAGTTTTCATGTTTGGTCTACTTTCACAAATGAAAAAGGTGAATTAGCCATTCTGACCACAAAACACGGCCTATTGCCGAGTCACACAACACGGAAGGTTTATTTTCCGACAACCAATTTAGGCCACAACGAATTTGCTTAGCTACAAATCGGAAAATGTATTTTCTGACCACAGATCTCTGGGTCATCATGGCCATTTTGCGAAGCTACACGGAAGATTTGTTTTCTTCAACACAACTCGTGGCCATTTGCCATCGCCGAGCTACGAAACATTCTTTCCTGATGACGCAGGCGTTGGTTACTTGTCGAACACTAGAGAGTCAAAATAGATGGAGCTTTGCAGAAATCATCCTCACTTCGAATGTATACGCCGAATACGTGACTGCGTGCATGCGCACATGATGTAATTTCCCCTACTGTTGGGTAGGAGG